TTCTGCTATCCAAGGAATAGATTTAAGTCACTGCACACCCTTGCTTTGTAAACACACAAATAATTATTACATTATGTGTACATTCTGACATCTGAAGTTAGGTACTTATCTACAAACCCGAAAAGCTGGATGCTTTGTATAATGTAAAGATCATTGCCTGCTATAGTCTTTACATCCTTGTGTAAAAATATGTGCTGAAGAAAATACTTTTCATTCTTATTATTTGATAACTTACATTTTAGATTTTTTTATTTTTTACATAACAGAGCAATCAATGACCTCAATTATAATTCAGTATTTTTGTAAAAAATATTTTACATAGTTTATTCAGTAATATTTCATTTAACTGCATTTCAGAAATTTAGATGATTTCAAACTTTATCTGATAGATAAAATAAAAAAAATAATTGTTTATTGACATTTATTTTTTAAAGAATATTTTAGAAAATTGCTAGTAATTGCTACACTGAAGAAATAGCTGTAAGAGTATCTGGTAATACATAAAACATATAATTATTCATTGATACATTAGTATGTGAACTCTCCTGTTGTATTGCTTTCCCTGAAGGCCCTATTTTTACCTGAATAACAGAAAAGCAATAATATTACGGAGTAGCAAGACATTACTTGGTAAAAAAGAGTTTGTGAGATACAAAACTAAGTTATCTCGAGATGGGCAATAAAGTTGTTTTCATGTGTGAAACTAAGGGATCGTGACAAGTGCTGCTAAAATTATCAGGCTTTGAAAAAAAATGCAAATATTTTTGCCAATTGCAATGAAAAGCTGCACAGAACTATGAGGAATGCTGTTTTCTTTGTCTTTTCCTCAGTCATTTTCTTTTAGTTTTAGTGACAGCATTCATTTTGCTTGATTTATAGAAAATTAGAATTTATAAGTATCAATTTAGAGACCGTCTACATTTTAAGTTCTTTGAGATGAAAAAATGATCAAAATCCTTATACAGGATTGCAGACTTGTAAAATGAAAGCATATTTTTCTAATAAAATTTTTAAAGGACAAATGTACTTCCAGCTGTGCCATACTTCTGTAGCTAATAATATGCAAAGGGCTGGCTCCTCAGCTGATATAATTCTGTATTACTTGACACTAGTAAGGCAAAATCTACATAAACACATGGCTCACTAAAAAAAGCCTGCAATGTGTTAGCTAAGCATTAGGAGAAATTAAACAACAAATCAACATGCTCTAAAGTTTTTCCTCATATTAATTTGTTGTGATGGGAAAATATGTCTTCAGTTCTAATAGCTTTATTTTCCATCTTTGTTTACAAGTGAGAACGAATTAATTTCCTATTTTTCCCAGTAAAGGAGCTACTGGAATGAAAGAGCAGTTGAGAAGTACCTGATAGATTCTGCACTTGGGACAATTAATTTTGTAGTACGGTTTTGATTAGTAATATGGAATGCCCAGCATCCTAAAAAGATTAGAGGAATTATTTTCCCTTGCTTTCGAATTGTTTACCAATCTGCGGTTTATTGAGGCATGGAATGCCCTCTGGTGGCGCACAGGCTTTATGGCAAGTTAAAGTACTGGATAAATGGGAATTAACAGCTGAGTGTGCAGCGTCTCTTCCGCTCCGATTTTTAGCTCAGTGACAGAGCCTTCCTAGCGATCTGCAGTTGTGGTAACTTCTGGCAAGTGGCTGAGGTTAGTACTGAGAATTTATTGAGAGTGCCTCAAAGAGCTACAAAGTTCCTGCACCCCTGCTGTGAGCAAGTGCCACTGCCCTTGGAATAGGTGAGAATCCTGCCAGTGCTGAAGCAGAGTTAAAGTCAGATTGTACTCTGATTGCTCCACCACAGGACTAAAAATAAAACACGCATCTTACTCAGAATTTAGTCTTGTGTATCTTTATTGCACCTGGAGAATTATATATCAAAGAAAACATTTATCTTGGTAATATGCACAGGGGCCTTTCATTAGCATTTTTTCAAAGTTTGTCTCAACCTGGAGCATAGAAGTTGAACAGTTCTGTCGCTGCCAGATATAAGAAATTTTTTTAATTATTTTCCAAACGTTATTAATGCATTATACACTGATACAGTTTCTTAATATCACCTGTTGTGAATCCATATCAGTCTTTTATTAGCACAGTTATTGGGATCAGATGGTGTAAATACTTCTTACCCCAACAGGTAAACACATGGGAAGAAGAGTAATCTAGCTTGTGTTCTTGTGAAGATTTCAATTTTTTTAGGAGATGAAAAGATGATTGAAAAGATAATGAATAGAGAATGGATATAGGCAATCTCTTCCCCTACCCTTCCCCCCTCTTCCCCCTCCCCCCAGTCCTATCTACCTGATACTGTCTTTCTTTGAAAAACTGTAAGTAAAAATAGTAATGGAAAAAGTAAAGGAAAATATATTAAGTGGTAACTGGAAATGAACTTCAAGCTGCAAGTAAAAGTACTTTCTCTTGCTGTTTTATTTCTTCTGTGTTCCAAAAGACAGTAGTTTTTTTTGCTCTTTCTGTCAAAATTATAACGGAGACATCCGTGATAGAAAAACAGATACTTTTTCTTGACCCTGTTGTTAAATAAGGAATTTTTATACAGCTTTATAAATCTACTGGCTTTCTAATGGAGAAGTCACTTTCCTATGGCAAAGACCATCAGCCTTCAAAGTTTTTAACCTTTACACCCAAGGCAAAACACCAAGTATTAGCAAGACATAGAAAGAGGATGAAAAGAGCCCCCAGCATTTATAACTTACATGATTCCAGCAGGAATAAAAGAAGCATGAATGTATGAGGCTTTTTAAAAATCCAGGCATTCTGTTTTGTTCCACTCCATCTGTATTTAAATACTACTGCTGCTGAAAGGTGTTGAGATTATTCAACATAAACTGATCTAGACATTAAAGAAATTTTTGCCTTTGGTTAGATTGCTAGTGACAGTGTTGTGGGTTGCAAAGGGCTGATTGTGAAATCAGGCGAACAACAATAATTCAGAAAGTTCATTTTAACATGACAGAGCTGACTGGAGGCTCATTATAAATACCAGCTCCATATAAAGAAAGGCAGAAGGGAATTGACTGCAGTGTTTTTATTCCTGGAGGTGACAGACACACACACGCAAAGTGAAAATAAACAATGAATAAAATAAAAGCAACTTTTCTTTGTGAAAGGTCAAGCTTGTTTCACTCTAAATTTTGATTTAATATTGTTTAAAAACCCCACAACATTCAGTTTCCTTCAACTTTTACATCCCTTTGACTGAATACCATTCCATCTATTCAGAGAACAATCTTATTTCAGATCATGACTGTTCTGTTACTGTGAGAATCCTGTTCATGTCTTTTAAGATCTCCAAAAAATTCCTGTGAAAGCCCTATTTTGTCATTTAACCTGTGCTGAGAAAACTACAGTCCACTTTTAAGTGCCTGATTGTACTTCCATTTTTAAAAGCCTTAAGGTATCTTTCTGCTAGAGCCATAAATGTAGATAGCTTGCGCCTTATAGCACATCTTCAGGTATTTTAAGGGAGGCACAAGCTCAGTCTGACTGCTCTGAGCTGAGTAAAAACTGCATATCCCTTAAGGTGAAGACAAGATAGTGTCCAATTCCAGAGCCAGCACAAATAAATTCTCACTACATGTTCTCTACGCATGGCACCTGAACAGTTATTCTTCTTATTCAATGCTGGCACAGTAACCCTGGATAATGCTTTCTTCCTCCTGAAAGCCTTCAGTGATTTTCTAAATGTATAATCATCAAGTAAAAAATGTACTGAAAGATCCATCTAGCACATTCCCAAGTCATTAACTCTGTTTTTTTGTGGGGATGACGACAGGAGGATCTAGAACTTCCTACCTGAAAAGTGCAAAACATTTTTTTAAAGAGATGTATTTGAAGGTGCTCACTATTACCTACAGCAGGCACGAAGCCCCAGAAATCAAAGGCATGTCTGTCAGAGTTATGTGGATGACATTTGGCATGGCAATTTGAGCAGAATATGAAAACTCAGGAAGCTACTGGGATAGCAGAACAGTGACAGATTGATGGTATGGTAAATCCCTCAGTCAAAGGCGATCCTAATAAGCCCTGAAGAGACTAACTCAGAAAAGGTTAGGGGAAACAGAAACCCATGGCACACATTAAAGTTCAAATGAGTAATTGTCATGTGGATTCTATTTTGTAGCTTACCAGCTTCTCGGGTTTGGAGCAGAGCATTTATTTTTTTAAAAAGCTGGTTGCATTTATAGGGCATTCTGTCCCTGGATAATTTTATTGACAACAGGTATGCAGCTAAATCTGCAGTTTCTCAGACAGTACTGTATTGATTACCTTTCACCTTATACTGTATACTCCTTAAAGATCGAATCACCTAGAGTACATTAAGGAGCAAACCAGTTTTTAATTGAGTGCCTTTTTATTATACTAGGTAGTTTGGATTAGTGGCACATCAGTGTCTGGAGTGTGTTCACAGCTTCCTCCATTACTGTGCTTCTATAATAACTAGAGGAAGGGAAGCTGAGGCCTTAAAAAAACTAAAAAAGGAAATCAGTTTAGATAGCTACAGAGAGCTTCACTGACTAAAATATGATTAACTTAATGGAGTGAGGTCAGACACTAGTACAATAGATATTTGTTTAAAACTAAACAGTATGCAAATCAAATCTGTGAAACAAAGAGAAACAAAGTGCAAGTTTCCCTGGACAAGAACAAAGTATGATGTGAACCAAGAGAATTACAGGTAAATGCAAAAAAAAATATAAATAAATAAAAGAAAAAAAAAAGGGGGAAAATGCTCACAAATAAAAATCAGATTTAGCTTAAAACAGATTAACATCAAGCAGGCCAAAAGTAATATGAAAGGAAAAATAGAGCTATATATGATGCTCTGTATGGTGAGTTGTACTTTAATCACAAAATCTAAAGTGTAGGAAGACAATATTCCTGTCAACAATTGATTATTTTTATTGCTTCCCAAGTCCTACCCTTTGCCCCAGCCATGTTTGTTTTCTCTTCTTTATCTAGTTTTCCTGACCTATCTCATCTCATATTCTGTGGGAAGCAATGACCATTGCTTTCAGGGCTCTCAGTTCATCCCAAGAGGAGAGAAGGCACAAGAATTGCCAATACCTCAATCAAGGTATTGATCTGCAGGGGGATGTGTTTTGGCCAGGGTTAAACTTTCCGTTTATGCAGCATCCTCAGACCAATGCTATACTCATGTGACACCTTGTCTACTCAGGAGCTCAATAAAGCTGCAATAAGTGTTCTCAGTCTCTTTCAGGGCTGATGTTTCTCCTTCAGCTACTAACTGTGCTAGGTCCCAGCAGGTGACAGAATGGAGGAGGAAGATGAATCACTTGGATTCTGCTGCCATGGACTGACTTATCTCTGACTTAACTGTGAAACAACTGATGTGTCCTCCCAGAGATGTAGCCAGCAGCCCCCGCTCCAGAGTACATCCTAACAAGAGACCTCTGCCTCCTCCACCTCCTGTGAGCATCAGCTTTGTCAATGTGCATTGCAGCGCTCCCCCAGCTGATTATTGGTAAAATGATTGAGGATGCATCAATCCCCAAAGAATTTGCTAATGCTGTTCATCATGTTGCAAATTATTTTTAGCCTCTCTTAGTTACTTCTGGGCAGACCAATCACAAAAGCAGAACTGCAAAACTTACTGTTCTACTTGTGCTTATTTATTGTTTCTCATCTGCTTGGCTCTGTGTAAACAGCACATGCTGATGAACATATGGCTCAGGCTGAGTGAGACTAGAAGGTGGAAGAACACCCCAGCAGAGCAAAATGCTTCCTCCTCTGGAATCATCACAGAATCATAGAATGGTTTGGGTTAGAAGGGACCTTAAATATCTACTTCCAACTCTCCCGCCACCTTCCAATAGACCAGGTTGCTCCCAACCCTATCCAGTCCTGGACACTTTCAGAGATGGGACATCAGCAGGTTCTCTGGGCAACTTGTTCCAGTGCCTTACCACCCTCACAGTAGAGAATTTCTTCCTGATATCTCACCTAAACCTACTTTCAGTTTAAACCTGTTGTTCCTTCTCCTGTCACTCCATTGTCCTTGTAAGAAGTGCCTATCCAGTTTTCTTGCATAGTCCCTGTAGGTACTGAAAGGCCACAACCATCTCTCTGGATCTCATTGAGCCTCCAAATAAAAAAATTACTGACTAATTTACTAATAGTCAAAAAAACTTTTATTTCAAATTACTCATTTTTGTTTGTTTGTTTTGTTAGAAAGGAAAAGTTAACAAGTAGTATAGATGATAGACTAGGGCTCCTACCTGGCAGCATTTTTTAGCCTATGCACAGGCTGGCTGACTGGCTCCAAAATTATATTTTGGTATCTTCCATCCTGTACAAGCTTCCCCTGGTACCCAGCAGTCCAAATTGTTCTATCTTGTATTGGCTTGGAAGTTGTGCCCTGACACCCCTCTGCTCCAGTCATGCTATGTACAAGGCATCAGTGAACACCCATCCTGGGACCCTGACTAAAATACAAAACTCACACTGATATTTTTTCAGCCAGATCAGCAGGCTAGAGATATTAACTTCATTACAAGACCACTAGGTGGCAATTTAGTAGTCCTGTTTTAGATGTTTAATATATTTGATTTCTGTGTTGCTTTAGATACAAACTTGATGAATGGCAAATTGAACAGCATTCTGGAAAACCTGTACTGGTTGTTCCTGCCAAATATATCAAAGTCTTTCTGCTTATCACACCTCTCCCAGAGATTCATTAAATTCAGTGAATGCCTCTGAGCACACAGTGAACACCTCTGGCCAGGTGGCAGGAAAGTTAATTGATTATCAAGAAAACATAGGAGTTCTTCTAGATCTTTAATAAGGAGTCATAGCTATATGTGCCATGAGATTGACCCTGTCCACAGCCACAGATATAGGACCGTGACATAACTATCTGCATACACTGAAGGTGAATTTCTGTGGCAGCACACCAGAGTCAACAGGAGAGCTACTGTGGCCTTTGTATCTGCCAAATGTGTTTGCATTGATCCCACAATCCCCTCGCCTCAATAACTGTAGATCAGAAAGGTGGTATAAACCATTTTTCTAGAAATTCAAAGTTCTTTTCCTAATAAACAACTTTTGTATGGTTGTCTGAGAGAACTAGATTGCTGCAAAAAGCATTTCAGGTCTGGAAGATTTAAGACTGCCATCTAAACAGAGAGAGGACGTGAACAACTCAAGTATATGTGTATGTGAGCTTGTACAGTTATTTTCATTGCAAATACTATATAATTGATAGAAATTGATGTGATACCACAAGGTATATACCAAAACACATACAAAAGGTACATACAAGAGAAGTGTTTTGATTGCATACCTTTTCACTTTGGGATAATTTGGGATTTTTTGTCCCTTTGTTCAGTGTTGATAGTCTTTATGAATTTTACTTAGCAGTGAAGTGATGCTGAAATAACTGATCCCAGAATTTTTGTGAAAACTATTTATAGTAGCGCCCACGGTTAATGATTCAATAAGGAGGCTTACAAAGTATTTTTTTCCCAGTGATCTCAAGTGACACATACTAAAAGTGGTGAGCTTTTGATGCACTGACATTTGTTCCTGGGGAAAAAAAAAAGAGCAATAGCATATTATAAAATTTCAGCCTTCAGATGCTAAAAATAGGAGGAAATGGAAAAAAAGAATTGCTTGAAGTCAGAAACAAACGTAACAATATGTAGCGCTTCTGTAGCTTCAAAGCAGGCTGACTCAGAAGCTAATGTTTTGGTGGAAAAGGTCAAGAAGAGAATGGTTTATCATTCTCAGTTATCTTAATATTAAGTGACTCTTATGTTTCCCATTATTGAGCTGCTACCTGGTGAAAAAAAATTCAACCAGTCTGTTAATATCAGAAAATATTTCAAATGAGTGCAGCTTAAAGTTCCAGGGTGTGGGGAGGAGGGGCAGAAGAGATAACATTGCTGAAATTTTAAAAAAAGGTTTTGCAAAGAGTGCTTCAATCCAGACAAAAAATAGAACAAAGGATGCTCCTAGATAACACAGTATGAGGAACCAGACTGACCAATAAATAACTACATTAATAATAGTAATAACTACATTAATAATAGTAAGATTGATACCAGTTCAGAATTTCTTTTTTCCTATGTTTCCTTTCAACTGTGGTTTTCTTTTGTAAAGGATCTGAGAAGGGGTTTTTCACTTAAGGTAGGAATATTTTAGCATTAAAGAGAGTCAGCTGAAATGGGGGCAGGGTGGGAGGAAGAGGAGGTAGCTGTTTCCAAACTTGCTAGGAGAAAGGAAAACTTACTTCTTTTATGAACAGCTTGGAAACTGCACTAATTTTTATCAGTAATGAATATGAAAAATAGGAAAAAAAATCCCAGGATTTATTGGAGTAAGAGGGTTTGAGCACCTCATCAATATATAAATATCTGAAAGGAAGGTGACAAGAGGATGGGGCCAGACTCTTCTCAATGATGCCAAGCAATAGGACAAGAGGCAATGGGCAGAAACCGATGTTCAGAAATTTCCACCTGAATATGAGGTAGAAATTCTTTACTGTGAGAGTGACCATTCAATGAAACAGATTGCCAGAGAGGTTGTGAGTCTCCCTCACCAGACATACACAAGAACCATGTGCACACAATCCTGTGCCAACGTGCTCTAGAATGAGCCTGCTTGAGCAGGGAGGTTGGACCTGATGACCCACTGTGGTCCCTTTCAACTTGACCCATTCTCTGATTCTGTGAATCCATTAGAAACTGAAGAAGATATTAGACTTCCCAAGTCATGTGGGTTTTTTGATAGTTCAAGATCTTAAAAGTTCTAAGAGTGATGCTGTTGCTTTTCATGCAGTGACTGATAAACAGCTGCTGGTTTTGTGTTTGCTCCCAGCCCTCAGCCGGTGTTACCTGCTGGAAATCCCAGTACCATCAGCTGAAGGACGGAGTTTATCAAAAGGTACTGAGGTACACAAACATGCTGTGATATGTTTAGATCTTTTTATGTTGGCATTTTTCTACCAGGATTCTTTCCCTATGCTTCGCGCATGGGTGTTGGATGCTGTTACAAATCGCATCCCACCCCTCCCTCCTTCATCCCCATCTCACATCTCCCACAGTGCTTCTTGCAGTCTAGCAAGGAGAGAGCATCTCCAAGGATTGTCCTATGAGGAAAGGCTGAGAGGTTCAGGGTTCTTCAGCCTGGAGAAGAGAAAGCTCTGGCAGACTTAGAGCAGCCTTCCAGTGCCTGCAGGGGCCCTGTAAGAAATCTGGAGAAGGAATTTTTACAAGGTCTGGTAGTGATAAGAGAAGGGGAAATTAAACTCTAAGAGAGTAGATTTAGATTATGTCTCTGGAAGAAAATCTTTATTGTGAGGATGGCGAGGCACTGGAACAGGTTGTCCAGCTTCTCCCAGAGAAGGTGTGGATGCCCCATCCTTGGGAGTGTTCAGGGCCAGGTTGGATGGGACTCTGAGCAACCTTGGTCTAGTGGAAGGTGTCCCTGCCAATGGCAAGAGGTTGGAACCAGATGATCTTTAAGGTCCCTTCAAAGCCAAACCATTCTAGGATTCTATGATGTTTTATTTAGCAGCAGGTAGAGGGAAACTGATTAGAGCCTACAAAGCTGTCTGGCAAAGACATTCCTTATTTGACACTGCTTCTTCACATTAAGTAGTTGTTAATTACACTGGCAAAGTCTCGTATTTGAAAATTTTCTACAAAATCTCAAAGGCACAAGAAGTATTTTTTTCTTGTTTACTTCTCATGTGCAAACTGAGAAACTTCATGTTCAGTCATAAGTAGTAGCAGTAGGAAACTACTTTTTGCATAAAAGTCCTATAAATTCTTTCAGAGAGAATTTTTCTTTCAGAGAATATTCTAAAAATAAACATTTTCTTTAACCTTAAAAAAAAGTATGGACGTTTTATTTTAATTAAATAAGTGGATTTTGATTCCTCTCAGATTCCTATTTCTTTATCAACAATTGAAACAATTTCATAATACTTTCATTTTGAGAAAGTAATAATTTTCCAAACACTCTTTTTTTTCCCTTTAAGCCAAGACAAGTTAATGTATGTGGGCATTTCAACACGTACATCTTTAAACCACACTTTTTTCCCCCCCCCACCCTGAGATTACTGTCTTACTTCTTGCCTGTATTAATTTTCTCCTTTAAATAAAAAACAAATAACCAACCAATAACCTCTTCCATTCCAGATCTGAAACTCATAAAAAAAAAAAAAAAATATCAGATGCACTGTTATCTAAATAACATACTTAAAATCTGAACTATGAATAGAAATTAAAGGCTATGGAGTAATTTTTTCCTCATTTTTGTGAATTATACCAGTTGTCTTCCTACTTTATGGCTGTCTTTTATCTTCCAGCAGTGACACCCCCATCTGACTTATGATCTCTCCACAGGAAGTCATTGAGTGACACAATAGAGTTAATGAATTGGTCTTTCACCTCCAAAAACCTGATCTAAATGCTAGCCTGAAATAATGAGCATGATGGAGTTCAGTAATGTCAGCAGAGTATTAACTTCTGTTTAAAGGAAGAATGAGCACTGGCAGGAAAATGGATTTTAAGAGAGATTTGGAGCAATTGCACCTGCATGCATTATGGCAACTCCAGCCTTCCTTCATTAGAGTCATATTCACATTATCCCTTTGCTATTTGAATAGAATTTGGCAGAGGTTTGTCTGCAGAGTGTATCATTTATCAGGGATCTTTCTAGATATTTAAGTTCCCTACCATTCTAATATCTGAGCACTACACCTTCAGTAGCTGGTGGTTCAATGTCATAATACACCTATACAGAGAATCAGAGAGGAACGCTTAACCAGTCAAGGGTAATATATTTTATCACAGACATACATAATGACAAAGTATTCCACTGAAAACAAACCACAAAACACTACCAATCTAGGAAGTGCTGGGTTAACTGCAGAAGTCAGCAGGACTCATTCAGGACTAGCAGTGTTTATCTTTCCACTGCAGAAAGGCCAAATACAGCATACTTCACTGAGGATCACTGCTGTAGGTGGATTATTTGGATGTCCTGGAGGCCTTCAGAGGTAACTCTACAGAGCGTCTACAGAGGTAATACCTTTGCTCATTTTTGGAGTCACTCCCTAGCTGCAGCTACATCAAGAAGTCAAACAGAAAAAGAAAATCCCAAGCAGCAAACCCCAAAATTCACCACCAGCAAAAATAAGTCCAAAACAAGTAAAATCTCAACACAACAGGAACAGCAGCAGCTCTCCCTCCCCCACATTTATCCTCACTGAATTTCATACGCTGTGTATGTCCTGTGTCTTTGGGAGAAGATGGTGATATTCCTGTCTGCTCTTCAAAACTATAAGGGAGAACAAGTTGCTCAGACTAGCTGTGCTGTTGCCCTGATTTATTTCCCTCACACAACACAATTCAAGCTTTTACCTCAAAAAACCAATAGTAACAACAAAACTGAAACTAACCAACCAAACCCCAACCTAATCCAGACCAAACCAAAAAAACCCCACAAATCACGTATTTGCAGACTAACCACTGAAATTTTTCAAGGCACTAGAACCCTGAAAAAACAAAGGAAGCAAGGATTTTAGAATAGTGACATAATTGGTAGCATAGTGTACACAGAAAACACCATCTTTACCTCTTAGCCGAATAAGCTTTACTTTTTCCTGAGTGGCAGCAGCATCTGAGTATCTTGTACCCTGCACTGTTATTGGCTTGTCACACTCTTACACAGACTGACATTTATGCACTCACCAGTTTTGTATTTCTCTGACTTCAGGCTTTCAGCCTCAGCAAAATATATCTCTTACAGTAGGCAGACTGTAAACAGTTTACAGGCTGCTATTCTGTTAACTTAAACATTACCATCTCTCTTACTTTCTTCTTGGTTTTACCATTGGTTTGGGTTGTTTGTTTATTTTTTCTTCACAACCTTTGATTCACCCCTAATTACATTCCATAAACAGCTTTAATATTGCTTTGTTCTCCTCTTGTGCCCTCCTGCCTTCCCCTCCACAGCTGCCTGCAATTCCCACCAAAAGGCTGGTTCAGACCCTCACTGTGCACGTGTTTGGTATCCCAGTTTATCTAAGCCCAGACTATGCCTGTCTCTGATCAAAGGTTAATTTTAATCTTAAACAGATGTTTGTCCCTGGAGTTTACATAGTTTATAAATTTAGAAGACAAATGTTCTCTTGGCTGTTGTTATTCAATATTAAACAAGCCAAATTCTCTTTGGGTATGACCAACAGGGAGCAGGCAGTGGTGTTTGTGCTCAGGCAGTGCCAGGGGCCAGCTGAACCACCACAAACTTGCGCCTGAAGCCAGGCAGGTTCATGTGTGTCGATACCTGCTCAGTGCTACACTTACGGTATTTAGTCTTGCCCCTCAGGGCTTGTTTCAGCAGCAAGGATCAGCCCACATCCAACAGGTATATTATTTTCAGCCCTGGATAGTTTTGCTTTGGTCATAATACAGGTGGGGAAAATGCAGCAAGATGTGTGAAGCAGGACCTCAGTCTCTTCTCAGACATGGTCCCCAGTCACACAGTTTAAAAAGAAGTTTTCTCAAACATAGCTGTTAAAC